AATGAGTAATTATCTGCCCATTCGTGGCTCGGTCGTCCAGGAGGACAGCTCTCTGAGGAAGACAGATCTCTTACATAAATTTTATTCATGGCTAAATGATGGCTAATCCGAGTATGAGCCAAAACAGATACAACCTAACATGAGTATTAAGTAGGCACTTCATTTTATATATTAGACATACACCATATATCGAGTGTATGTCGAACGTAAGTTATACATCATGTGAGAATATAGAGAGGGAGCATTTAGCGTGTAAGTAGTTCGACCTGACCTACAGTTGGCAGAGTTAGTTCGAGAGTGAACCTCGAAGAAGAATGACGAACTGAAGCAATAAATAAATGTCTGCCCAATAAAAAGGAAATACAGAAGAACGACGCATAGAAAACGACCAAAAGGAAAGCGACGTTTATCATTCTCTGTCTCGAGATAACGAGAATTGTTTTAATTTGAAACTGTTACATTTCTTATTCTCTCAGGTACGTTGTGAGAGAGAGAGAGAGAGAGAGAGAGAGACGAGAGACGAGAAGAGAGAGAGAGAGAGAGAGAGAGAGAGAGAGAGGAGAGAGAGAGGAGAGAGAAAGGAAATACAGAGAGTGACGCACAGAAAACGACCAAGGACAAGCTCGACTCGCTGTTCATAATCCCATTCCTGCTGCTTGAGATCAAACGGAATTCAGTGATTAATCTCAGAACACTTAAATTTCTTACTATCTTCTCAGCCGATACAAGTTGCATCCCCCCCCGTATGCCCCACCCCTCCCCCCTCGCCCTCCAAGAACCCCCCTGCGGGCCCCTACCCCCTCGCTCGGTGTGCCTGTGTCGAGACGGAGAAGAGAGAGACCGGAGAGAGAGATGAGCGAGAGAGAGAGAGAGAGACCGAGAGAGAGAAGACGAGAGAGACGAGAGAGAAGGATACGGACAGGGAGAGAGAGAGAGAGAGAGACTGAGAAGAAGGACGACCAGAAGAGTGACGCTAGAAACACGACCAAGAGGAAAGCGATAACGATAACGAGAATTGTTTTAATTTGAAACTTAAATTTCTTATTCTCTCAGGTACGTTGTTACCCAAAACCGCAGCGTGAACCAAGTCGGCTGACGGAGATTCCTGAGGCCGTTCAAAGGCACTTTCGGTTTTAGATTATCGTAAATATATAACTAAACAATGCATAAGTAAACGACAACTTACTTTTATTCTCAACGAAAGAATGGGGAGAGATTAGATTAGATTAGAGAGAAGAGGAGAGAGAGAGAGAGAGACGAGAGAGAGAGAGAGAGAGAGAGAGAGGAGAGAGAGAGAGAGAGAGAGAGAGAGAGAGAGAGAGAGAGAGAGAGAGAGAGAGAGAGAACAGAGACAGAGAGGATGAGAGGAGGAGACGAGAGAGAGAGAGAGACAGAGACAGAAGAGGAGAGAGAAGGAACGCAATAGAAAGAGCAAGGAGAGAGAAGGACAGAAAGACAACAAACAGACAGGAGGCAGAACCCGAGCACCCCGCCCAGCGACGCGAACGCCGAGCCGAGATCGCTGCCTCGATCCCGACGAGGAGCCTGATTCGACGCTGCCTCGATCCCGACGAATGAGCCTATTCGACGCTGCCGCGTTGACGATGGCGTGTGGGAGGCATGTTCTCCGCAGTACGTGTGTCAGCGGCTCGGGAATTGGTTTGCTTCATGTGGGAAATTTTTATGTATCGATATCAGGGCACACACACTCATACACCTATTACGTTCCATACACATTCTATGATCTCTCTCTCACTCTCTCTCTCTCTCTCTCTCTCTCTCTCTCTCTCTCTCTCTCTCTCTCTCTCTCTCTCTCCCTCTCTCTCTCTCTCTCTCTCTCTCTCTCTCTCTCTCTTCTCTCTCTCTCTCTCTCTCTCTCTCTACACACACACACACACACTATCTCTTCTCTTTCACTCAACTCTCTCTCACACACACACGCACTCATACAAACACATATGCACACGCACATACACACTCTCTCTCTCGCACACACACACCATCATTCTCTCTCTCCCTCACACACATATAAACAAACAAACAAAAACAAACTACCTCTCTCTCTGTCACGCTCTCTCTCTCTCTCTCTCTCTCTCTCTCTCTCTCTCTTCTCTCTCTCTCTCTCTCTCTCTCTCTCTCTCTCTCTTTCTCTTCTATTTCTCACTCACTCTCTCTCTCTCTCTCATACACTCATACACGTACATGTGCACACACATATACACACTCATTATATATGCAGACACACACAGACACACACACACACACACAACAAAACATACACACACTCCTTATCTCTCTCTCTCTTTACACACACACAACACACATTCATGCAATCATAGGTGCACACACAACACACACACTCCCTCTTTCTCTCTCTTACCCATACACACACACACACACACACACACACACAACACACACACACCCACACACACACAGCACACACACACACGCACACACATGCACACACACACACACATATATGTATATATATATATATATATATTATATATATATATATATATTATAATATATATATATATATATTATATATATATATATATATATACATATATATACATAAATACACACGCATGAAAGAGAGAGCGAAAGAGAGAGAGGGACAGACAGAGAGCGAGTTAAGCAGATAGGTAAAGATGCATGAAGCGATGCCTCGAGGGCAATGCATCCCGCAGCAGCGCCGGCTGGGATGGCCCTCCCAGCCTCCGCCTCAGTCACATCTGCGATTGTATGGTCCTCCTGACTGCACGGTGACGTCAGAGGCCATGACGTCACACCGGGGCAAGGCGCGATGGGCCCGACGGAGTGACGTCAGACGGCGTCGACTCCTCCCTAGGAGATGAATATATTCCTTTTCTCACATTGCCCAGCTGTAGCGTGTTATGGGACAATGGTATCTATTAACCGGTAACATAAGAAGGTAATTCAAGAGCGTCGCTGGCCTTCTTAACCCTCGCCCTCGCGCCCCGGCCAATCAGAACTGCGGTTGTGACAGTACACTCTTGTATTTCAAAAAGGCTCCTTTTTACGACGCGGCGGGTTGCACTCCAGAAAGGGGCGCTGATGAGTGTCCCGCCCGCCGCCCCGCCCGCCCGCCCAGTCGTACCAAACAATGCCAAAGAAGAGAGAGCGAGGAAGAAGGAGAAAACCCGAACGCCGTCCTCTCCGCTCTTTCCCTCGATCGCGGGCGACACGCGACCGCCAGGCGAGGGGCGCGATTCGCGTTCACACGCCGTCGGAGCAGCACCTGCAGCACAAGCCGCGGCCTCGTCGCAGGACGCACACTCGCGCACTTTCGTCCAGCGTTGTCCTGCATCCTCGGTAGCCTGCTGGTGTTGCCACCTCCCTTTCGCTGCCGCTGTCCTCAGTTGCTCAGTGGACGCTTGCGCCCAGTGTCGCCCGCCGGCTGTTTCCCGCCCTGCAGCTGCGTCTCGTGCTGCCGTGATGGAGCCTCCGCTGCTGCCGCTGCTGTTCATCCTCGTGGCAGGTAGGCTTGCTCAGGCAAAAGCTGGTTCAGTTGGTGTGCGAAAGGGCCTCGGCGCCGCTGGCCTCGCGGCGAGGGCGGACGTGGGAGCGCAGGACTGGGGACTTTTTGTCGCTCCGTCTGTGAGGGGAGCGACGGCGAGGGGAGACGGCGCTCAAAATAAGTTCTCTAAGCGGCCCGAGGCGCGAATATTGCTAGTTTCTTTAACGTGGACGGTTTAGCGACATCCCAGCCATTCAGCGGCTGAACAGTGCAACTTCTGCAAAGGCAGAAAAACAAAAGAAAACAAAAAAAGGAACTCATGTACGAAATGTCAACGATGCGTCCGACGTAGCTTGACCTACCAACCGCTGTAAAAATAGCACATAACAAAGGGATGTTTTTATGAAGTGATTAAGATGGAAATATATACATGGAGAGATAAAGAAATGAAGATACAGGCGGAGATAGATAAAGAAATAAAGATACAGGCGGAGATAGATAAAGAAATAAAGATACAGACGGAGATAGATCAGACGGAGATAGATAAAGAAATGAAGATACAGGCGGAGATAGATAAAGAAATAAAGATACAGACGGAGATAGATAAAGAGATGGACAGACTGAAAGAGCGAGATAGCGAAACAGGCAGAGAAGAGCATTTGCAGATCGGGAGAGACAGACAACCCGACATGCAGACAAACAGACCGACCTCAATAAAGCGAGACCCAGGCCCAGCGCCCAGGCCAGCCGAGCCCCCAAGTGCGCGCAACAGACAATCTTCACATCATAATGAGCGACAGCAGTACGGTGGCAGGCTGGGGCGAGGCACGGCACCGCCACACGTGCCTCTCTCCCTCCATTAAACTCCGCGCCCCTGATATTTTTACACGGCTGTACTCTGGAGATGTCTCTTTTTTTTTTTGCTTTTTTTGCGTGCCGGGTTTCTTTTTTTTTTTTTTTTTTTTTTTTTAATTCTTTTTTTTTTTTTTGAGGCGGGGAGGGGGAGGGGGAGGGGGGCGAGGTGGAGCGTTGTTGCCAAGTCGGTGTGTCGCGAAGTACTGACGTCTCGTTGTACTGTTTAATCTCGTAAGCTAAGAATACATTCCTACACGTACGAGGGAAGGAAGGGACTGGGAGGAAAGAGGGGCAAGAGAGAGGGAGAGAAGAGAGGAAACTGGAGGGAGGGAAGAAAGGGGGAAATAGAGAGAGAGAGAGGAAAAGGAGAAACCGGAGATGGGGAAGAAAGGGAGAGAGAGGAAGGGAAATGAAACGGGGAGGGAGAGAGAGGGAGGGGGGAGGAAGTGAGAGAGAGAGAGAGAGAGAGAGAGGGGAGCGAGAAAGCGAGAAAGAGAAAAAGAGTAAGAAGAAGAGAACAAGAGAGAAAGAAGGAAGGAGGCGGAAAAGAACAAAGTGTTCGCACCTTCATCCGTCCTTCGCACTTAGGTTCGAATCGGTAAATATTTTTCGTTCTCGTGAATCATCGGTTTGGGCGCCGGGAAGGAGGCGGCGAGATCAAGCAGCAGGCAGGAGGGGGAGGGGAGAAGGAGGGGGGGGGGAGGGGGAGGGGAGGAGGAGGAGGAGGAGGAGGAGGAGGAGAAGAAGAGGAGAAGGAGGAGAGGTAAGAAGGAAGAAGAAGAGGGGAGGGTGAAGAAGAAGAAGGGAGGGTGAAGAAGAAAATAGGTGAAGGAAGAGAAGGAGAGGGAGGTGGGATGACGAGCGGGGAGGGGAAGAGAAAGCGACAAGAATGTCAATAACAACAATAATCTAACTGATAGATATCAACTTGTTTCGCTCGTTCGTTGGCACGCTACGCTTCCAATTTACGTCTTAAACATCATCTGACTGGGGACTTAAAGTTATATCCTCATTTTAAGGGAAAAGAGGTAATACATGCCTGGAATTATGTTCCATGTGAATGCAGACTTGAAGTCATTTCATTTTGGTATAAAATGGGAGGATAATTCGCAAGATGAATAT